AAGTCGGACGCTTAACCAACTGCGCCACCCAGGCGCCCCCTAAGCTTATTCTTCTAAGGAAAAGCAAAGGACTGTCCATAAGCACTCTGAAGTGACAAAAAATACACTAGTATGAGTTGTGGGCACCTTCCACAATATTTATTTATTAAATAAATAAATAATTTTATTTATTTTTGCTCTTGTTGTCCGTGCTGTTGGTTTCAGATAGAAAATTGAGTAAATTTTTTTAGAGTGATAACAAGCATTTATTAGCTCAAAAGAATGAGTTAACTTTTGTATAAAGTGTGAATCTTTGTTTGAGGTTCACTTTTTTCCCTTTGGATTTCCAATTGTTCCAATACTATTTACTTTTGAAAATGCTATCTTTCCTCTAGTGAATTGCTTTTGCACCTTGCCAAAATCAGTTGGGTATATTTGTATATATCTATTTCTGGGTTTTCTATTTTGCTTCATCAATCTATGTGTCTATCACTCCGCCAATACCATACAGTCATTATTACTGTATTTGTATAATAAATCTTGAAATTGGATAGATTGATTCCTCCCACTTTGTACTTTTTCAAAACTGTTTATAAGCTATTCTAGTTCCTTTGACTTTTCATATAAATTTTACAATAGTTCCTAACAAAACCTAGGCAAGGTATTTTTGTAGGTATATTGTTTATATACCTATGTGTAATAGATATATATGGGCTACAATAGATCTTGCTTGGGTTTTGGTAAGAATTATATTACATACATACATTAATTTGGGGAGGATTGACACCTTTATTCTTTTGAGCCTTTCAATTCATAAGCATGCTGTATCTCTCCATGTATTTAGATTTTTAAAATTTCCTTTCTTGTATAGTTTTCAGCATACAATTTCTTTGCATGTTGTTAGGTTTACAGCTAAGTCTTTCACTTTTTTTTAGCAATCAGAAATGATGATATATTTTTAAATTAAAATTTTGATATATACTTCTTCACTAGCTATTTGATGCCAAGTTGATCATGAGAGGGTCAGTGTTTTGTCCTTACTGGAATAGACGCTCTGGATAGGGTTTGCCTTCTCTAGGCCATGCTTCTGCCAAAACTACCATTCATGGACTTACAGAATTACTTATGTGCCATAATGGTACTCCACACATCATTGCTTCTGATCCAGGAACTCACTTCGCAGCAAAAGAAATGTGGTAATGGCCCTGCTCATGGATTTCACTAGCCTCATTATGTTCTTCATCATCATGAAGCAGCTGGCCCAATAGAATGGTCAAACTGCCCTTTGATTATATTGCTGGCTAGTGGTAATACCTTGCAGGACGGGGGCAAGGTTCTACAGGAGACTGACTATGCTCTGAATCAATGTCCTATATGTATGTATGGTGCTATTTCACTGATAGTCATGATTCATGGGTCCAAGAATCAAGAGATGGAAATAGGAGTTGCACCACTCATTATTACCCCTAGTAACCCACTAGTAAAATGTTTGCTTCCTATTCCTGTGTGCTGAGCCAGAAGGGAAAGATATGGCACTAACCAACCTAAGCTGATGTCTTTGTTCTCCCCTAGCCTACTAGACTGTGATGGACACATTCAAGCTCCAAGACTATTAGGGCGGAAGTCAATCCTCTGGGGAGGCCCCTCAGGTAAGTTGTGGTGCTGGATGTGCAAACCATCTCTTTCCTTTCCCCTAGAAAAGCCAGGAGTCTGAGGATTTCTTTTTGATCATATGGCATTGCACTGGGGGCAAGGACTTGGGCAAGATGTCTCAAATCATCCGACTAGCTTCGATGAGTCTGGTGTCACAGTCACTCAAAGTACAGGAACCTTTCACTTCATTTCTGTATTTCTTAAGAATAAAATTTCTCCATGAGTTGTTGCTAAATGGGTATGGAAGGATGGTCCTGAGCTTCCTACTCTGCCATCTTGCAGGTGTTACTCTCAAGGCTTTTTTCAAGCTTTGTTAGGATGAATCAAATATGAGTCTTGTTTTAGGTTTATTGTAGCCTTACTGCTAAGGTGTTATAGGGTGAAAAATGCTCCCTCCTTCAAAGATATAGTCACTTCTAAATCTCCAGAATCCATCAATATTACCTTTTATTGTAGAAGAGTGAATATTACTGTATATGTAAATACGTGATTAAGTTTGGATCTTGAAAAGACGAACTTATTTTGACTTATCTGGGTAGATTCTACATGCAATCACATGTATCCTTATAAGAGTGAGGCAGAGGGAGTTCACACACACACACACACACACACACACACACACACACACATAAATACAGGAGAAGGTGATGTGAAGATGCAGGCTGAGATTGGAGTGATACAGCCACAAGTTAAGGAATGCTAAGTCATCCATTAGTCACCAGAAGCTAGAAAAGGCAAGGAAAGTATTCTATAGAACCTCTGGGGGGAGTGCAGCCCTGTTGGCACATTGATTTTGTGCTACTGGCCTCCAGAACTGCTAAAGAATAGTTTTCTAATGTTTTAAGCCATCAAGTTTGTGATAATTTGTTACAGCAGCCACAGGAAATTAATTCCTCTGAAATCTAGTGAGTGCTTCAGGTTTCAGTAACATTTATCTGCTTTAGCTGGATGGAAGTC